TCCTGTCTGAAGGATTAATCTTCAGGATATTTGCATGGAGAGAATGTGAGGCTTGAACATAGAATCACTTTTTCTGTCTTGTTGTTTGTAACATGGACGATTCTTGCAAGGATCCCGTGACAATTGTCTGTACACTGCTGTAGTAAGTTAACTGTAGCAGCAAGGCGGTTGGGGCACACCCTCTCCCCCTACACACACACACACACACACACACACACACACACACACACACACACACACACACACACACACACACACACACACACACTTGTCCTGTTATGGGTTCTGCAGTACGAGCAACTTCAAGTCTCTGTTCTTAGGAACATCTTGGAGGAGTATCGAGGGCTTCCCATTATTTGCATTGGTCTCTCTGTTACACATCAATTGATTGGTTTGTCTCACTTTCAGTTTAATGATACAGTACATAAGTTTTAGCCATATTATGTTGTACTATTATAAACACCACACCCTTAAGATCTTTGTTCTTGTAGTTTGGAGGTACAGTATAGTCATTATAGTACAGTACCCAACTCCTTGTGTCACATATGCTTAGATTTCATTTCCTGTGTTTAGAATTTGGATTACAGGTATTTAGTGATTCTTTGTGTCCTTGTTATAAAGGAATACAATTTGATCTCTTGTTGGATTTGTGGGCCTTAAGTGTGTTGACAATTGAGATCATGTGTCCTTGAAGTTGGACTTGTTTTCTGTGATGAGGGTGCTGCTCCAGCCCCTTCCTTCTCATTCATACTAAATATTCTCATCAGGGATTGTGTTTTTGAGTGGTCATGTGTTGGGAGGTGTTTAAGACTGGTCTGGCCATGATCTCTGACCTGAGAAAGCTCTGGGACACTATCCAGTATACTTAGGGACACTGGAAAAGCAAGAGATTCAGATTTGCCCCACAAAGTGTAGGGGCTACTTTATTGGGCACCCCTCACATCCTGTGTAGGGCAAAGTGCAGAAGCATTGTAGTACCCAACAGGCAAGTGGAAGGAGTTCATGCATGACCTCTTAAACTTAGATGATGTGTGAACAATAGTGCCTGTGAGACCATTGGTTCAAAGTCAGTTAAACAACAAAATTTATGTCTTGCCTTAATCAAGCAAGGAAAGCATCTGGGGGTCTTGTTGTCAGTTCATTGCTGAGGTGGATTAGAACAGATTACACATACATTATGCAGTGCCTGACTCATTGGCTCTCAGTTATTTTCTTATCCTTTCTTGGGGGCTGAAGCTGCTTATGGTGGGGAATATTAATTTTTGGGAGGGGGATTATTTACCAGATGATGTCAGTTTAGGTCAGCCCTAAGCTGGTATATTCACAACTAAATATTTAGGGTTAGTTTCATACCAGGAGTTCAGGATCAGTTCCACTTGATGATTACTGTACAAGAAAGAAAACAGTTGCCTGGTTGACCTTCCTCCTGCCATAATGGAACTATAAATTGACAGGAACTACTTTTTATGGCTGAAGGAATTATAATTATAATTGTTTTGCAGTTTGGTTTTGACTGACTAATTAGAATCCTCCTTGGTCTTTGAAACGTCCACTAAATCAAGTGGGATCAGATGTTTGGCCCACAGTCATCTAAATAAGAAGACTCCTTGCAACAGAAGCTTTTAAGTATACTGTACATATAAACTAGCTGAATTAAAGAATATTTTACACATTTTGATCTTTGCAGGGGACTCACATAGGACTTCCCTTGGTCAAAGAATGGGATGTTATTCTTCATTCAATTATATTACTTCTTCAAATCATAGCTGCAATATTTTAAACCCCGGGGAGGGGAGCATCTTACCCCTTGGCTTTTTTTATTCGTTTCTTCCTCCTTTTAAAATGATGACAAGGCTGGTATAGAATAACCTGTAGATAGCACTGTACAGTAGTATGAGAAATGATACTTGTAACAATATCAAAGATTTTGTTCACTCATGAGTTGGTGTCTGTGTGTTACTTAAGAAGATCCTTGTTAAGTAGATTGAGTTATTAGGTCATAGTTCAATTATTGGAGTCATATATATTATTAATTGTTTATAACTATTTGTATAAAAGGCCATTGTTTACAAAAATCTGCCGTACGTTGTCATTTTAACACAATACGTATTGTCATATTGTATACAATGACTGATTTTATCCCTGTAGGGAATTGCTTTACCTCTTGATATCATTTGGACATATGAAATCAGTAATTAGTTTTTTATAGCATAAGTATTGATGATTGTGGCTGGCATATCACTTCAGAACCTCAGTGAAAGACTTACCGTAGATGTAATTAGCCACAACAGACACTTCATTCATGATATGGGGCACAGTTAGTGAGACAAATGAACCTCTGATCTTATAAATTACAGAAGGTGTTATTGGTAGTTCTGTGTGAGAGTGTTAAGCTGTGGAGACAAACTAAGATCATAGGTGAAGACTAACTGTAAGATCATGACACAAGATTATAGGTGAAGACTAACTGTAAGATCATGACACAAGATTATAGGTGAAGACTAACAGTAAGATCATGACACAAGATTATAGGTGAAGACTAACTGTAAGATGACATGACAACAAAGATCATGACACAAGATTATAGGTGAAGACTAACTGTAAGATCATGACACAAGATTATAGGTGAAGACTAACTGTAAGATCATGACACAAGATTATAGGTGAAGACTAACTGTAAGATCATGACACAAGATTATAGGTGAAGACTAACTGTAAGATCATGACACAAGATTATAGGTGAAGACTAACTGTAAGATCATGACACAAGATTATAGGTGAAGACTAACTGTAAGATCATGACACAAGATTATAGGTGAAGACTAACTGTAAGATCATGACACAAGATTATAGGTGAAGACTAACTGTAAGATCATGACACAAGATTATAGGTGAAGACTAACTGTAAGACCATGACACAATATTATAGGTGATGACTAACAGTAAGATCATATGATGGAGGATATTGTCATTGTGTATACTTATTATGGTACAACATATACAAGTGACCTTCGGGCAGAAATAAATGATACTTTATAGTCAAATGGCTCCCTGTAAGATATGAGATGTGTATATTGCTAACATGGACAGTTATTTACAGAGGTGACCGTTAGTAGAGTACACACACACACACACAGGATGATTCAAGTCGTGTAACTTGTACTTTGGGAGTTTATTAAGTACTCGTATACTGTACTGTATATCTCCCCAGGGTGATGTAGTCGTAATTGGTGTCTGTTGTTGACTTGTCTGTCTCTATAGAATCATATATTTGTACAGTTAACTTCCTCACAAATTTCAAAGGATAATAATTCAACTTGTTAGATGTATTGTATGGGTGGCTGGTCGTGGTGAGGAGACTGTACGACTCTTCTCTTGTCTGACATGACAGCCGACTGGGATATGTCAGCATCATCTTTTACCATTGACTGGGATGGTACTGTAGTAGATGTATTGTTCAGTCAAATTGTATTACCCTAGTTATAAAGAGAAGAGGCAAAATTGTGGAAGATTTTTTAATGGTAAATTTTGTAATCCAGATCAAAATATGTTTCTGATATTAAAAACAAAATGATATAAGGCATCACACACAATCATCAGACACCCAGAAACTAATGGTTTGATGAGGATATATTGTGCTAGAAAGGTTACATAATATGCATATAAAATGACTGATCTGATACTTGTTGAACACTGTTACCTCAACCAATGAAGGAATTTTTCTGAACTATGAGCCGTCCACTGGTTGGGAACGATCACTGCAACTGGACCAATCACGATGCTTCTCTCTCTCAGTTTGGTCTCATTTATTGTGTCAGTTTTTACTCTCATTATTTCCAGACCAAGAATAATGGCTAGCTACAGAAGCCACAATAGGTAGCAGGGTCAGGACTAGGAATATCAAAAAGTTATGGGTGGGGGAACATGGCAAGCACATGAGCCCACCCAGCTGTGGGGTGTTGTAAGCAAGAATTTTTTGAAAATCTGACCAATATTATGGCCATTTTGAAGCCATGTGCACTTGATATTAGGAGATATTCTAAAGTCAATAGCAATTACTTTTTACTATACATAAATGCCTGAGTATAATACAGAAAGGTATTGGAATTTTCTGATGAAAGAGGGGTTCAGAATCCTAGGACCCCTGGATCTGCCTTGGGTAGAGAAGAATGTGTCCTTAAATGTGGAGAAATATCACTTAAAACTATCCATTTGACTTAATAATATTAATTAATGCTTCATTCTTGATACCTATGAGTGGGTGTCAGTGAAATTGGTTCATGGTAAATATGGTCCAGTGACCTCGGGCCAATCATAATACATATGGGCCAAGATCACCGGCAATAATTTTCTTGGGTACTGTAATTGTTAAGTTAGGGTAGATTATGTTAGGTTATTTTTTGTGTGTTGGGATCACCGGGTCGAAGTTACCACGAGCCGACTTGACTTGTGTCCCCGGTGAGTTGGTGGTGCGGGACAGACTGTGGAATAAACTTTGTGGAAATTAAATTTTTTAAAGTATTTGTATATGTTTATGAAAGAGTGGGGCTCAGCTCTCCCTGGTTAGTCCTTATAGTGTTTGTGTGTTGTGCTGACAGAGAGAATTGTGATAGTAGTGATCTGATCTGTCCTTTTAGTGCTCAAAATTGTTATTCTACCCATACAATATTTTGATGTTTGACTAAACCAGTGCTAACTACCCTGACTGTGACATACTAGTGATTAATTCTATATTTCTTCCTCAATGTAATATTTGTTGGGGATAAATGTACATTGGGTACTGTACATATACAGGTAGTCCCCGACTTACGACTGCCTCAACTTACGTCCATCGGTACTTACGACCTGCTCTGACCTTACGACCGTTGGGACATACGACCGCCACAGTCGTGACCAAATTTTTATTTTATTTTTTTTTCAAATGACACACGCATTTTCTATACCGAAACGTTTCCAGTTAATGTAGTCTCCATGTATAATTAGAAAATTATGGGGCCCAGTGTGCATTCAGCTGACTACATTAAAGGTAAGTGCTCAGTCACACTGTATCCATTCCTCATTATTTATTACAGTACTTTTACTGTACTGTATTTCATTGTAGATTTTTTATTTATTTAAAAAAAATTATTTTTTTTAATCTATGTCGGACTTACGACCTGGATTTGGGTCCCTAACCCCGTCGTAAGTCGGGGAGCACCTGTACACTAGTCTGGTCTTAGGGTGAAGGAACATCAAGAGGAGTAAAGTTGAAGATAAGATAATTATACAAATGTGTTACTGCAGGTATTTGTTTACCAGAAGTGAGTGAGGTACTTATGGTAGAGGAGAGAGAGAGACCCAATTAACGAAATGTCTACCGGTCTTCAAGATAAACAGTTGTTAACATGTGTCTGGGAAAGCTAAATACAGTGCAGTACAGGAACTATATAATGAACATATAGTACCAGATTGGGTATTTCATGGGTTCATTTTGTAATCCACCAAAGAATTCACAACATTATGCTTCACTCTGTAAGGATAAGGGTTTACTGTACCTTAGTCTGTATGGAGAATGTTTATCAGTAAACAGGGCAATTTCATGCTCATGGCTTTTGCATATAAATCAACCATCACTGATTAAGTCAAAGTTGAAAAGTTCTTTGTAAAATTATATAAAAGTAAATTCTTACAAGTATTTTAGACCAGCAGCTGTTTTGCCTTATATTCATACTGTTGTGAGAGCTACTAAATTATATGTACTTTTTTTAATTTTATTTTAAAGAATACAGTACAGGGGGTAATACAAATAGGGTGAGGAAGGAAAACTTTTATCACTACAGATTATCTTAGTCATTGAGGTGTCAGAGTTCACATGTTTTGTAAGGGATCTGTTGTGTGTACATTATTAAGTTTTTTAGGAAAGAAGTACAGTAGTTGGTGTAGTACATTAGTCTGTGATAACTACCGTATATAGCCATTAATGCAGTGAAAATTAGTTATATCATCTGAGTGGTCTGAAAGGGATAGACAAATTTTTACTTGGTCAGAAACTTCAGTTGGAACATTTAAGTCGAGAAATTTGTGTGTTGTAGTTGAAGTGGTCAGGGGGATGGGTGGAAGGATGAACCTCACACACATGTACTGTATCACGCTTCATTAACATACATCTAAACTAACCTTGTACAAACCTACTAATTCTAGTCCAGATAAGTTGAATTAACATCGAACTAATCCTTCACTTGTGTATAAAAAGGTAAATGATTAATTAATGTCTTGTGTTCTTGTCTTGTGTATATTCAGTACAGTCGCCTGCACTTATACCTGGTACACTGGCTGGTGCATTTTGAGAGATGTGGCAACCCTGTGGAATGCTTCTCTAGCATCCTTAGTCTGGCTACTATTACGAGGTTCCATTCTGGAGTTTTATTATGATGTAAACAAACAGAGGTGCCACATCTCACCAAATGTGGCAGCCAACTACCCAGTATTTATTTCTGACACTTATTTGATGTTTTAACATTTAAAATGTATGAAGTGTTTTACCAGGGCTCTAACAGTATGCCACCAAATAATTATTATATTTGAGGCGCTCCCATTGGTGGTGACGAATCAGTCAATGACGCCCAGATCAGATTCTTGTTTCAACAGGGCGCGAGTGGTTGATTGGTCACTATCAATGGGAGCGCCTCATTTGAAGAAGTTTACCCCCAAATTTATGTTATCACAGAGAGGGGAAGACTTAACCAAAATAAGATGTATATTTGTTTTACTTGGTGTAAAGAACCACATCAGAATACAAAAACTACATTGGGTTAATAATGTACAGTAGTCGCGTTGTCTTCAGTAAGTATGTACATTTTACTTTCTAACTGACTTGGTGTTTAATTATATAACATCTGCTTATTCCTATCTTATTATCTAACTGTCTTTGCTACCTAACTCACTTTTTTTTGTATTCCTTGTAACAATAATAGTATGTGTGTCGTGTGATGTTACAAGCTGTCTTTAATAAATGGTGCTGTAGATAATTGAGTTTTAATAGTTATTTCACTCTTTGTGCATGTACTGTACTGTATACCTGCGTGATAACATGTGGAGCAACTTTGAGTACTAACTAATCTTACTGGCTCTAAATCTAAGGGAAATCCTGTCTAGTTTGTCTTAGTGTTTGGTATTTTGTTCACAACACCTTATTGGGATATATAATACAGATGCATTGGTAACGTCCCAGTCCATCTATTTCCCATTATGTTACAGCATATCAGGTTAGGTCATGTAAGGTCAGGCTTTTTTTTTTACGGGGATTAGCCCACCCGGGCACTGGTCACTGATCCACATCGGGGCCTGGGGGGCGAAAATGTAATAGTAATAATAATAATAATATAATTCATAGTAAATAAATTTTATAATCAGGAATAAAAAATTTAAAATAAAATAATATTGATAATAATAATAACACTAATAATAATAATAATAAAGAACCATAAATACAAAAATGAAAAAAAGATCAAAAGTGAGAAACAATATATGTATGTTGTGTTGTCATGTAAGAGAAACAATTGAGACCCTGCAATTGTGTGTAAATGAGGCAGAAAGTCAGATCAGCAACCTGGGACTTGGTCACATATGGCAGCAGGGTCTACCATTAGACAATATATTATGCTTCCAATATCTTCCTAGGCAGTAGTACCTCCTTGTTTGGTAGCTGCCTACTACCTTTCAGGTTAGGTTAGGTTATGTTATGTTATCATTAACTGACAGTAGACAGTCTGGGGATATGTGACATTTTCAGAGTAGACAAAGTGGCTATAAACCGATTACTTATGGGTGATATATGCTACATTTAGCTGAGCCTTATTGTATGAACATTTGTTGTGTGTGTAAGCTTTGGTCTGATTCCTCCGGAAATATGAGTGTCTTCTGAGAAATCTAATGAAGATGGGGAAAGCCAATTTATTTCACCTGGTGAATAAACACCCTAATGCTAACCTAACCTAACAAAACCTAACCTAATCCCCCATTCAGCATTAGGTTGTTTAATGAACAGGCAAAATAAGCGGTGTTTCCCGATTTTTATACTGTCACTATTTAGGAATTACAGGAGCTCCCCTACTTACTAACAGACCTCAGGAACCTAACCAGTTCGTGAGTAGGGGAGCCCCTGTACAGCAAAACAAGTAAATTATCTGTCAACCCGAACTCTAAATTACAATATAAATAATTTTACAGATGATTTGAACATTCTGTGTATGAAATTTAAACATGGAATAATTTTTGTTATTTAGTTTTCCATATATCACATGAGAGTTAATTAGGAGAATCTGACATAAGGGAATTGACACTGAAGCCTTATTTGTAGACATAACATTGGGAGTGTTGAAGAATAATGACGTAAGTTAGTGTACAGTCACGGAGAAGAGCTCGCTCCACTTGGTGAAACATAGTCACGGGAATGAATCACCAAACTGGCTTACCCTGACTGTCACCTGGTGCGGGTGTGTTGTTTCACCTCACTTGGGGTCGATGCTGCTTCAGTTTGGGATAGTCAACTTTTCACCTCGACTGTACAGGTATTTATGGAAACTAACGATACAGTATAACCTACCTGACACATGCACTAGGCGTTTATTAAATTCTTTCCTTGGACGCACATTCATGATAATATCCATCTGACGTAATTTTCCATTTTACAGAAGCCTCTTGGTCCCAGATACAGTACTGTAATATAAAGTAATGTGTGTGTGTTTTATTATTTGTGGATTGATTTGTAAAATACAGTATTCACTTTCATGCGTAGAATGAGGAAGGTTCATGAATTTTAAAGACTCGGGAACAAGTCATTCTGGAGGGCTGTGAAGAATGACGGTGTATTGACAAGGATGATAGGATGAAAATATTTACTCAATGATGATACAATGAAGATATTTACACAATGATGATAGGATGAAGATATTTACACAAGGATGATAGGATGAAGATATTTACACAAGGATGATAGGATGATAATGTTTACACAAGGATGATAGGATGTCAGTACAAGAGGACAGGTCATGTTTACCAGATGTTATTTCTCCGTGTTTTTGTTTTCCTTGTTAGCTAATTCACTCACATGTACAGGTAATTTGCCACTATAATTCCCTATTAATTATTGCTAGTTAAGGTGTAGTGTTCTTGTTGTTAGAGTTGGAGTACACTATTGTAATATCTTTGTGTAAGTGTTGCAAACAGAAACCAAAATTAGGAAAAGGCAAGGTGCAGCTTCAACTGTGGTTGGGGAGTCTACTGACACAGTATTTGTATCTGTAGATTTATTTAATGAGACACAATTTTGATTTTGTTTTATGCACAATATAAACAGCAGAGTTTATGTTCATATTGTTGCTTGTGATTTAGTGGTTTTCCTCAGCTTTGATAAGATCATAGACAAGTTTGGCCGATGCTGCATCTTCAACAGCCAGTCCTGGGAAGAGAAGAAGTTGTCTGGTATCATTGGTAGTAGTGTTCAGTTTAATGTATATAAGTTGCCCATCATAATATTACTGGACTACGTAGGTATACTAAAATGATAAATCAATAGTACTGTATATATGCATGTGGCCAATCAGTTGAATTGAGATCTCATAACTGAAATTTAAATCATTTAATTAGAAAAAAAATTCCACTTGAACTCGTATCATTTATGAACCAAGTGGTTTTTCATTGCACTAATACTTCTAGTAAGGTGTGATGAAACTGAGTGAGGCTTCCCTTACCAAGAGACTTGAAGATTGTAATGGTCCCACGCTGGACTGGTTTTCTCCCAAGTATTACTTCACCGATCTCACCAAACACTTCAGCCCCATATTTGATGACATCCCCTGACATCACAGAGGTGAGGTTACTTACAGAAGATATTTACAGTAAATACACACTCGCTCAAAAAGTATCATTACGATTTTGTGTGACATTATGACACAATGAACGAAGAAGTATTTTGACAACCCTCCCGAGACAACAGGAGTCGCGGTGTTCGTCGATCACCCCTCCGTAAAGATACTTTTTGGAACAAGTGTACAGTAGCCTAAACTTGGAGATCCCAGCATTGTTGGGACTGAAAGAGTAATTGACTTATGAATATCCAGGTTTTCTGAGCTGTAGTACAGTATTGTATAATGCATATACAGTACTCCTACAAAACAGTACTGTACTGTATGTTGAAGTACCCGAGGTAAGTAAAATTCCTTGTAAAAATTACACACACAGTTTATTACTGCGGGCATTCCTGGATTTGTAAAAGTGATTTCCTCATGAACTTCCATTATATGCAGTACTTGGAGATATATTACTATAAAAAAAAGTTCTGCCCCAAAACTTATTAATAATGACATGTAAGACATTTTGAAGTAAAAAATTTACTGGGACATAATATTTATAAATAATAATAATACAGACACATCCCGGTAAGTTTATTGAAAATTGAAATGAATTTGTACAAGAATGTGTAGTTGGGTCTGAAAAATATCTTGGTATGTAATGTAATATAAATATTATTGGATAGCACAGTACTGTACTGTACTGTACTATAGTTATTAAGAGACTGTGCCACTGGCTGTTGCATGGCCTAACTACCTGTGTTTTTCATTCCTCAGGGACACACTAGGTAATGATCTTGTACACAAGCTATGATACTTATCTTTTGATTTTATTTGATTTGATTTTTGGTGCGAGTTAATTCAATATTGAGTTTTACTACACATATTCATTTTATATTGTAGTACACTGTATATAGTTATGAGCACTATTTTGTCCTCCTACATCAGATAACAGTGTGAGAAGGTAAACAATGGTGCTCCCACAGCCAGCATCTGGTTACTGACTCCTGTACAGTCCTGTGAGCCAACATGACTGCAGTCAGTCCATGATTTATGAAGATCCAGTTAATGAAAATTTGAAGTTACAAAAAAATTTTTTGTTTTTCAATGTTCCCATGTAAAAAAAATCGGAAGGTACAAAATTTTTTTTCTCCTTTTTCGTTATTTTTTAAGGTGCTTACACAGGCCTCCTGTAATGGACCTGGTCAGCTTATAAAGACAACGACATGCAGGAGGTCTCCGACTTATGAACACCCGCTGATATGATCGAGGTTAAACTTTAAATTTACAGTACAGTATTTACCTGATGACTTATTGTTTACTTTCATTTACTGTATTTTGTCATTCTATTTTTCTTTTGTCTAAAATTAAGTGATTTTAGATGTATATAAGGACTAAGACTACGATATAGTGGGATTTTAAACATTGTTCTGTAAGTACGGTCTGCACATCGCACGTGTTCTAACTTACGCACAAGTCACCACTTTGGAACGTCCTCACGAAAGGAACCCGTTCATAAACCGGGGACCCCCTGTACTGTACAGTATGCTGACTTAAGATCTAACTGTGAGAATGCTGACATGTTTAGTATCTCAGAGCTTAACCTTTTGTCAGTGGAAAGAATAAAATGGCAAATGGATAAGTTTAGCATTACTTTTTGAGGTAAAACCGCATCAAAAATCATATTCAGTGAATGGAAAACATCTCAATATGTATACACAGATGGGCGCTGTAAGGGGGTGCCCAATAAACTAGCCCCCTTGGGGGCAATATAATCTATACACAGTGCATACAGTAGACTTATTGTTGGTTTGTCAATACCAAATTAAAATGATGTACTGTACTGTATATCTTGGCTGGGCGTCACAATAACACACAACAAGTGGCACAGTTTCTCACTATTTTCCATGTATTGTTTGCATACTGTGTTTATTATGTATTGGCTTACAGTCATTCTGTCTCCTGCTGCTCCAAGAACCCCGAGATTCAGAATTGTAAATCCAAGACATTTATGAAGACAATAATGAACCATTTCCTGCTGCTTCGGGTTCATGAGTCTAAATCTCAGGGTTCATTGAAGCAGCAGGAGAGGCGACAGGATTTCTAACTGTGACTGTACTTTAGGGAGTGACTATTAGAACTGTTATTCATATTTTCCTTTATATAACTTATGCTGTTAGATTTTTTTAAATATGCAGTACTGTTGTTATCATTAGTAAGATGGCCGTTGTAATATGACCCACCTGACTCCTCCCGTGCTGATTCATAACTGTCTGTATAGATAGTTGCAGAGCGTACCAAGTCTCCTTCCATCTCCTGCTTGTCAGATGAAGTGGCTCCAACACCTCACAAAACATAAATAGCAAGTTACAGTAGTTGTGTGAGAGAGAGACCATTATCATTTGCAAAAAGTAACAATGACATGGTATTTTCACAACGGGTCCCTTGCATTATTATCCAAAGCCTCAAAATCTCCTTCATCTAATGGAGAAAATTTCACCCATAATTAGATTTCGTGGATGATACAACTCAGTAGAATGTCTTAATGGGAAATAATAGGGATGTCTGCCAAGAACAAATCTCTTCACACACACAGCCTCTCTCTCTCTCCTTCACACACAGCCTCTCTCTCTCCTTAACACACACATCCTCTCTCTCTCCTTCACACACAGCCCCTCTCTCTCTCCTTCACACACAGCCCTCTCTCTCTCCTTCACACACAGCCTCTCTCTCTCCTTCACACACACAGCCTCTCTCTCTCTCTCCTTCACACACAGCCTCTCTCTCTCCTTCACACACAGCCTCTCTCTCTCTCCTTCACACACAGCCTCTCTCTCTCTCTCCTTCACACACAGCCTCTCTCTCTCCTTCACACACAGCCCCTCTCTCTCTCCTTCACACACAGCCCCCAGTTCACCCTCACATCACGATCAACTAACATTGCTTCCATGTTTTCCATTACAGGATGCATGTTAGTAAAAGTCATTATTGTATTAAACATTTTTGTCACCTGTAGCAGCAGCTCTTATTTTCTTCTCTGACCTCTTAACAGGTAATATTTGTCGGCTGTGTCCACGATAAATTTGTCACCTCAAAGAATTCCTAACATGTTCACTTTGTCACAGCTTCTGACTGTCTTTGGCTGAGTACAACAGTAAAACTTTGCACAAAACACGATGTTCAGTGTACAGTAGCAGGTAGATACAGTATATAAGAGAAGTACAGTATTATGTTTACCTCTGACCTGTACCTCTATATCCTTCAGGGGACTACTACCTGTACCTGTATATCCTTCAGGGGACTACTACCTGTACCTCTATATCCTTCAGGGGACTACTACCTGTACCTGTATATCCTTCAGGGGACTACTACCTGTACCTCTATATCCTTCAGGGGACTACTACCTGTACCTCTATATCCTTCAGGGGACTACTACCTGTACCTGTATATCCTTCAGGGGACTACTACCTGTACCTGTATATCCTTCAGGGGACTACTACCTGTACCTCTATATCCTTCAGGGGACTACTACCTGTACCTCTATATCCTTCAGGGGACTACTACCTGTACCTCTATATCCTTCAGGGGACTACTACCTGTACCTCTATATCCTTCAGGGGACTACTACCTGTACCTCTATATCCTTCAGGGGGCTACTACCTGTACCTATATATCCTTCAGGGGACTACTACCTGTACCTCTATATCCTTCAGGGGACTACTACCTGTACCTCTATATCCTTCAGGGGACAACTACCTGTACCTGTATATCCTTCAGGAAGATAGTGGGCCACATATACATTGACTGTATGTACAGCTCCTCCCCGACTTACGACCACCCGGACTTACGACCGCTTCAGTCGTACCAAAATTTTGTCAAATTACTTATTTTCGAGTCCCATCGTTAGTGATTGCGCTGTGTACTGACAAAATTTTCTTTTGTAATTCACTTTAAAATGGCTGGCAAGCTTAAAAGTGAGAGTTTTGTGGTGCTGAGAAGAAAAAGAGACACCCATTTTAGATTTTCTATGTATTATTTAAGCATTTTCGACTTACGACCATTTCGACTTACGACCTGGATTTGGGTCCCTAACCCCGTTGTAAGTCGGGGAGGAGCTGTATGTGTAATTTTCCCCAACAAGAATATATAATTCTCTATATACAAATAAGCACTGGACAGCATACTGTATGATATCTATAAGACAGATAAACTAGTTGTATTTTCACGACAATTTTGTACAGTAACTATACTACAGTACTCTATATGAATTTTTTTTAGTTCTTTTTGTAAATATAAACAAATACAATAACAAAATACTGGTACAGCATTCAGATGATCAGCCGTGTGTTAAGTTTAATACAGTATCACAAACTATGCTGACTTTAGGAATATATTGTATACCTGATACTGTACAGTACTATGAATAAGTCACTGGATCTTTATAGCAAAGTGTTTTAACCCCTTGTGTACGGGTTCCCCTCTTAGTTAGATAAAATCACCTGGCGGTAGTCAAATAAAATATTAGGCGTCCCTGTAGTGAAGGGGTTACTATAATCTTACTGTTTATATGTGCTCCTGGTTTAACCCATTCAGCCTTCAAGATGGGGGTAGATGTTGCAGTGCAGGAGTTGATCACATCAGCCTCCTTGACTGCCTCCTGCACCGTGGCTACTGCTGCTGCTGGTATTCCTTCACCACACAGGACAGCACACAACTCCTTGGCTGATTCCAACCTTCTTGACCACACCATGATCTGTTACCAATGAACACCTTGTGTTGTTTAAAAGTTAGTCACATTGGCTGAGTTTACAACTGAAAATTTGACACTTCCTCCGCTCTTGTATAGATAATCATTGGTTGTATTTTCTCCATCAGTGATCCTTGTCCCTGATCTTTCCTCATACAGTACGCACGCACGCACATTATCCATATTTTTGGATGACATTGTAAATAAAACATACTAGTAAAGAACTGTTCAGTGTTATATCAACAAATCTCTAATAAATTTTGCAAATCATTTCACAAATTAACATAGAGTATATCTTTCTTTGTGACTAACCTTCTCAGGCTTAAGGATGTGTGCCATAACACGAGCATGTGAGCGACCTTGTTCCCCAGCGCCTAACACTGCAACTATCATGCTTCCATCTTTCACATCTGTAAATATATGAAATATATGTATGACAACTTCTACTTATAGTTTAACATGTAATGGAAGTAAAGCACATTATTCAAGTGTATGGTAACATCTGCTACTACTGTACTGTGTTGTAATTCATAGAGAAATATTTGTGACCTGAAGTAGACTCATTTAAATGGAAGAATAATGTAAGTATGTATTACAGCATCTCCCTGTACATATGTCCATAAATGTCTTTGTCTGGGATATGTTTAATCTAACTCAGTGGTTCTAAACTATGCAAACATTTTAACTTCAGTATTCATTTTGTTATTGAACAGTACAGAACAGTACTGTATAGTACAATACTGTACACATGGTGTTGCTGGTGGTGACGGCTGGTTTGTTATAACGCTGCTCTGTAGTTATGTACTGTTTGGGGGATCTGGTTTATCTCACTTGCTTTTAATGCCCATTTTGTGGTCATCTCACTCCTTGTTTCTTCTCCATTTTTTATTTTGTGTGATTTTTTTTGTTTGTGTGTCAAGGGCTGTTGAGTTACTCCCGGTTTTTAATATTGTACCGTATTTTATTTATATTTTTTCAGAATGAGGAAATGTACTTACAAAGATGCAATTTTAAATCTTTTATTCACTTTTAAAATATTGTTTAGCAGGAAGGTTCTTTGAGCCAAAATGGTTGTTCAAAGTGGCCTATTTTGCAGATTTATTCTGTGAAATTAACTGCCTGAATGCTTCCATGCAAAGTTGGAGTCACACTCTCATTAAACTCACAGACAAGCTGTCCTCATGTAAGAACAAAAGGAAGTTATGGAAAGGCAAAATGGAGCGAGGAAAGACTGAGTCATTCCTATCCTTAAACTATCTCTTGGAAGACTGTGAGGAAAATGCATCAGCATTATTGGAGGACATTCGTGTCAATGTCCTGGAGTACATGAACAATGTCAGAAAAGAATTCATACACTGTATTTCTGCTGAGGATACCAAGAAATACTGCTGGGTTCAAAATCCTTTCAATGTTAATGTGAAAGATTTGCCAGACAACAGAGCACCTGGACTGCAAGAGTAACTGATAGAAATACAATGAGATGGATTACTGTGCCACAGCTTCAAGCAGTACTTTCTGGGTCACACTTCAATAAAAATGCAATAGTTGCTGCCAAAGCTGTGAAAGTCCTCCTGCCATTCACAACCACCTACATTACCTTTGTGAGGCAAAACTTTCAACATTAACAATGATGAATCTTGTAGACAGACTCAGCCTGAATATGATCTGTGCTGCAGCCTGTCTGGCACAACATTTCACTTTGAACACCTGCTGGCTAACACAAAATTTTTTGATATAACAGTATACTATACTGTGCAGTATATTGCATACAGTATTACATTATTAGTTTGTTATTTTATTTTGCTCTATTGTTCTCTAACCAAAAAATAATAATAATTATATTATGTTTATTGTATTTACTGTGGGTTGTGAGCATGCCTGACCAATCTAGTTTTGGGTCATGACGAAAAAAAGGAACCACTGATCTAATAAATTGAATAAAGTGAAAATAATCTGTATGATGTAGTTCATAATAAAAAAATCTTTAGTGTTGTCAAGTCACCATTAAAGATTGAGCACTACGTACTTGGTATGATGGAAAACAATCTTTCTGACTTCCTGACTGACTACTGTATGTATTCTTCTACCAGCAACCCTAATCTTTTTAAGAGAAATTAGAGGAACAAAATAATATGCCATATGTACTATTATGTGCCACAAATTAAAAACAAAATTAAATATGGTGTTGTGATGCTGCCTTACCAGCTAAGATGACACTTGGAAGTTCTCCATACAGTACTGTATAATGCCCAGTTCTCACTATAAAAGGGAGTTGGTGATAGGAAGGGCTTCCAACTGTAAAATTTGCTTCAAATTTACTTGGTGACAACCAAGGATACCTTGCCATCATGTTCAAGTAATAATGGGTAACCCAAGCAAACATGGAAAATATCCTTAAATTGATGATGGTGATGATGAACTGGCTTTAGACTGGTACTGTACTGTGATTAGATTAACAATATTGTTCAGAAGTAGAAAATGCTTTTCACCTTTCCTCCCCTGAAGTAGCTCAATGGTTGCAACTGCTGAAGCGGCCGCTGTCCTCATCTCTGTGATGACTCTGCCCTGAAGAACCTGCACACAAGATGGTGACTAAGGAGGTTTTCAAGTATCAAGAGAGAAAATGAAACTAGAAATACACAGTACAGTATAAAGTTAAGGTACTGTAATCAGTCTAGCAACACCAAGTCCCAGGTTGCTCATCTGACTTTCTGCCTCATTGCAGGGTCTCAATTGTTTCTCTTACTATTGACAACACAACATACATACAGGTATATTGTTTATCACTTTAGATCTTTTTTTCATTTTTGTATATCTTTATGGTTCTTTATTATTATTATTGTTATTATTTTATTTCATTTTCGCCCCCCTGTAAAAAAAATACATTAGCATAACTATTGTTATGGGACTTGTGAAAGTACCCTGTATATGTAAACATTTATCATTACAAGTATTAACAAATGGTTCTTGGAAACTAGAGTTTGCTAAATCCCTGAAACAGTGATGTAGTTGTTGAAACAGTGATGTACAGTGACCCCTCCATTAACGAACTCAATCCGTTCCAGAAGGTCATTCGTTAGCCGAAAAGTTCGTTAACCGAAACCATTGTTTCAATGGGTTTTTGGGTAATTGGTTCCAGCTCACCGAAAATTTCCTAAATTCAACAAAAATGGTAGAAAAGTTCACTTACTTTGAGGTGTGTATGTAGAAGGCTCCTGGATGATGATGATGATGATGATGGGATTTAGAATGGGGGGTGGAGGAGAAGGAAAAAGAGAAGGCATTGGGGTGGAAGAGAAGTCACCCCATGGCGCCATTTCACCCATAAAATTTTAGCTCTCTTGGTGTAATTCAAGATTATTTTCTTTAAATCAACACTGCACTGCATTATATATTGTCAATATGTAAAATATATTTCAAAATGACCAATAATTTGCTTGGAAACACAGAAAAAAAGCTGTGTTAAGAGGCTGGATGCCGCACATTAAACTAGTCACTTTACCTTCAATTATGTTCAATAATTGTTAAAATGACTAAAAAATTTAATATTAAACTTTTGAAATTATTGAATAGTATAAACTTCTTGATATTTACTAAAATAGTAAGGAATTTAAGCCCTAGAACCGATTAATGTATTGGCTGACTGATACTAAAGCTGGTTGCCCGGTCAGTGCAAGTGAAAACATGTTGAGGTTGGTTCGTAAGAACTTCGTTAACCGAATTTTTTTTCGTTAACCGAATTGAAGATCCTTATGGAAGGCAGTTCGTTAATCGAAATTACGTTAACCGAGGTGTTCGTTAAACGAGGGGTCACTGTAGTTGTTTTAGTTGTTGAAACAGTGATGTTGTTGTTGTTGTTGAAACAGTGATGTTGTTGTTGTTGAAACAGTGATGTTGTTGTTGTTGTTGAAACAGTGATGTTGTTGTTGTTGTTGAAACAGTGATGTTGTTGTTAAAACAATGATGCACTTGTTGTTGTTAAAACAGTATGTTGTTGTTGTTAAAACAGTATGTTGTTGTTGTTGAAACAGTGATGTTGTTGTTGTTGAAACAGTGATGTAGTTGTTGTTGTTGAAACAGTGATGTTGTTGTTGTTGTTAAAACAATGATGCAGTTGTTGTTGTTAAAACAGTATGTTGTTGTTGTTAAAACAGTATGTTGTTGTTGTTGAAACAGTGATGTTGTTGTTGTTGAAACAGTGATGTAGTTGTTGTTGTTGAAACAGTGATGTTGTTGTTATTGTTTAAAGATGCAGTTGTTGTTAAAACAGTATGTTGTTGTTGTTAAAACAGTATGTTGTTGTTGTTGAAACAGTGATGTTGTTGTTGTTGAAACAGTGATGTAGTTGTTGTTGTTGAAACAGTGATGTTGTTGTTGTTAAAACAGTGATGTTGTTGTTGTTGTTAAAACAGTATGTTGTTGTTGTTGAAACAGTGATGTTGTTGTTGTTAAAACAGTGATGTTGTTGTTGTTGAAACAGTGATGTTGTTGTTGTTGTTAAAACAGTGATGTTGTTGTTGTTGAAACAGTGATGTTGTTGTTGTTGAAAACAGTGATGTTGTTGTTTTGTTAAAACAATTGATGTTGTTGTTTGTTGTTAAAACAGTGATGTTGTTGTTGTTGAAACAGTGATGTTGTTGTTGTTAAAGCAGTGATGTTGTTGTTGTTGAAACAGTGATGTTGTTGTTGTTAAAACAGTGATGTTGTTGTTGTTGAAACAGTGATGTTGTTGTTGTTGTTAAAACAGTGATGTTGTTGTTGTTGAAACAGTGATGTTGTTGTTGTTGTTAAAACAGTAATGTTGTTGTTGTTAAAACAGTGATGTTGTTGTTGTTAAAACATTGATGTTGTTGTTGTTAAAACAGTGATGTTGTTGTTGTTGAAACAGTGATGTTGTTGTTGTTGAAACAGTGATGTTGTTGTTGTTGAAACAGTGATGTTGTTGTTGTTGAAACAGTGATGTTGTTGTTGAACAGTGATGTTGTTGTTGTTAAGACAAGCGATGTGTTGTTGTTGGAAACAGTGATGTTGTTTGTTGTTAAAACAAGCGATGTTGTTGTTGTTAAAACAGTGATGTTGTTGTTGGTGAAACAGTGATGTTGTTGTTGTTAAAACAGTGATGTTGTTGTTGTTAAAACAGTGATGTTGTTGTTGTTGAAACAGTGATGTTGTTGTTGAAACAGTGATGTTGTTGTTGTTAAAACAGTGATGTTGTTGTTGTTAAAACAGTGATGTTGTTGTTGTTGAAACAGTGATGTTGTTGTTGTTGTTAAAACAGTGATGTTGTTGTTGTTAAAACAGTGATGTTGTTGTTGTTGAAACAGTGATGTTGTTGTTGTTGAAACAGTGATGTTGTTGTTGTTGTTAAAACAGTGATGTTGTTGTTGTTAAAACAGTGATGTTGTTGTTTGTTGGAAACAGTGATGTTGTTGTTGTTGAAACAGTGTTGTTGTTAAAACAGTGATGTTGTTGTTATTAAAAACAGTGATGTTGTTGTTGTTGAAACAGTGATGTTGTTGTTGTTGTTAAAACAGTGATGTTGTTGTTGTTGAAACAGTGATGTTGTTGTTGTTAAAACAGTGATGTTGTTGTTGTTGAAACAGTGATGTTGTTGTTGTTGAAACAGTGATGTTGTTGTTGTTGTTAAAACAGTGATGTTGTTGTTGTTGAAACAGTGATGTTGTTGTTGTTAAGACAGCGATGTTGTTGTTGTTGAAACAGTGATGTTGTTGTTGTTAAAACAGCGATGTTGTTGTTGTTGAAACAGTGATGTTGTTGTTGTTGTTAAAACAGTGATGTTGTTGTTGTTGTTAAAACAATGATGCAGTTGTTGTTGTTAAAACAGTGATGTTGTTGTTGTTGTTGAAACAGTGATGATGTTGTTGTTGTTGAAACAGTGATGTTGTTGTTGTTGAAACGAATTTCGTTGTTGTTGTTAAAACAGTGATGTTGTTGTTTAAAACAGTGATGTTGTTGTTGAAACAATGATGCAGTTGTTGTTGGTAAAACAGTGATGTTTGTTGTTGTTAAAACAGTGATGTTGTTGTTGTTGAAACAGTGATGTTGTTGTTGTTGAAACAGTGATGTTGTTGTTGTTAAAACAGTGATGTTGTTGTTGTTCAGTGATGTTGTTGTTGAAAGTGATTTGGTTGTTGAAACAGTGATGTTGTTGTTGTTAAAGCAGTGATGTTGTTGTTGTTGAAACAGTGATGTTGTTGTTGTTGTTAAAACAATGATGCAGTTGTTGTTGTTAAAACAGTGATGTTGTTGTTGTTGTTGAAACAGTGATGATGTTGTTGTTGTTGAAACAGTGATTGTTGTTGTTGTTGAAACAATGATGCAGTGTTGTTGTTAAAACCAATGTTGTTGTTGTTAAAACAGTGTTGTTGTTGTTGGAAACAATGATGCAGTTGTTGTTGGTAAAACAGTGATGTTGTTGTTGTTAAAACAGTGATGTTGTTGTTGTTGAAACAGTGATGTTGTTGTTGTTGAAACAGTGATGTTGTTGTTGTTAAAACGATGTTGTTGTTGTTAAAACAGTGATGTTGTTGTTGTTGAAACAGTGATGTTGTTGTTGTTGAAACAGTGATGTTGTTGTTGTTAAAACAGTGATGTTGTTGTTGTTGAAACAGTGATGTTGTTGTTGTTGTTAAAACAGTGATGTTGTTGTTGTTGGAAACAGTGATTTGTTTGTTGTTAAAACAATGATGCAGTTGTTGTTGTTAAAACAGTGATGTTGTTGTTGTTGTTGAAACAGTGATGATGTTGTTGTTGTTGAAACAGTGATGTTGTTGTTGTTGAAACAGTGATGATGTTGTTGTTGTTGAAACAGTGATGTTGTTGTTGTTGAAACAATGATGCAGTTGTTGTTGTTAAAACAGTGATGCTGTTGTTGTTAAAACAGTGATGTTGTTGTTGTTGTTGTTGTTGTTGCTAAACAGTGATGTGCAGTTGTTGTTGCTAAACAGTGATGTTGTTGTTGTTGAAACAGTGATGTTGTTGTTGTTGAAACAATGATGCAGTTGTTGTTGTTAAAACAGTGATGCTGTTGTTGTTAAAACAGTGATGTTGTTGTTGTTGCTAAACGTGCAGTTGTTGTTGCTAAACAGTGATGTTGTTGTTCTTGAAACAGTGATGTAGTTGTTGTTGTTGTTGTTGCTAAACAGTGATGAAGTTGTTGTTTCAAACAGTGATGTAGTTGTTGTTGTTGAAATAGTTAATTTTATAACCATTACTGGATAATTATATTCCATTTAATAAAACCATATAGTTGCCATCAGTTGTCCACTTTCTTTGATAATTGTATTTCAAAATGTGATCAACTGTGGCACTTCCCTCACAGCACCTGGAGGGATGATAATTGTGTCCCCTGGGCATCTTATCTTCTCCATTTCCTGGACAGTTGGGACAGGTAGGTGAACTTTTACATTGTATTTCATATTATTCCACATTATGTTGAGAGGAGTATTAGTGGCAGTCACACAGCCTTTAAACACCTTGTGTACGATGATTACTATCTTGCGCTAGTCAGGCTGCACCTCGATTATGCGGTTCGGTTCTGGTGCCCTTATTTT